TTTGGCCTTTTATTGCCTTTATTCGATAGAGACAGCTGAAGATAGACAGGAAAGGGGCGTAGAGAGAGTGGGGATGACACGCAGCAAAGGGCCGCCAGCTCTACCAACTGAGCTAACTGGACACCCCAGGAATATAATTTTAGCAAAGAAATGCAAAACCCTTTATTCTAATTTTTATATATATATTAATATATAGCCCTCTGTGAAAATCCTCAGAATATAGTAATATATGTTTTCTGAAAAAACTAAATATAAGAAGACCGACCTGTAAATAAACAGCTAAATGTGTATTTTGCCAGTTTTCTTTCCACCAGTGTGAAAGAAGACATGTTATTCAAGGATTCAAGGGGGCAAGCTGAGCCTTCAGCCATGGTGACAGGATTAGGATTTTGGAGTGACTGGAAAGATATGCACTCTCCCTTGTGGCAATTCAAAATAAATTAGGAACTTAATATAGGACTGTATGTTATTCACAATTATCCTGATAATAAAAGTTGTGTAAAAACAAAATATAATAAACTTAAATGAATAGTTTACACAATAAAATTGTATATTGTCCCATCCCTACCTGCCCCACTGTTTGCAACAGATCAATCCAGCAGTGAGGTAATAGTTATTTGGTCATTTGGTAAAATAGAATAAAAAAAGTCAAAATGAAAAAATTACTAATGTATATGATGAATGAGTTAATTGTTGAGGAAGAATTTAACAGTCTCACGGTCTGAGGGGAAAAGGTGGTCTTTAAGTCAGAAGCTTTTGTACCTTGTCCCAGAATGCAGCAGGGTCAAAGTACATGACCTTTGTGTCCTTAATGGTAGCTGCAGCCCGGTCCTCTAGGTCCATTTATATTGAGTGACTCAGAAAAATTATATCTGATAAATAATAAATGGAAAATGTCTTACCTGTCTTGAAAATTAATTTCTAACTCTGCCCCTTCTCTCCTCAGCGGTCCAAGAAGCTGCCAGTAAGAAGAGCAACAATCTTTTATTGGACACTTCTGATCTGGCCATTAGTCAGTACAGTCTGCTGGGGCATACGCCTCCTCGCTCTGCACCAGACAGCCCAGCCATTCACGCACGAGACTGCTCCTCAGCAGCAGCCAGTGAAGAACCTGCTCCTGCGGTGGAGGAGGGAGGTCAGATGGTCACAGCTGACGTTTGCCTTCAGGGTGACACTGATGTCAAATCTGACCCCAGTACCACTCAAAGTTCCGAGCAGAGCATGCCGCTTCTGTCTCCTGTGATCATCGTGACCCAACAGTTTGACGAATCATCCACAGAGGAGGCTTCTTGCTTCGAGGAAACCCAAGAGGAGGTCCAGCTTGGAACTGACACGCCATCAATTACAGCAGGGTCCAACTCAGACACGCCAGACTCTGAGGCAGCTATTACACGTGAAGCTGGCTACATCTGGATGCACCTTGCCTAACCAGATTACACTAATCCTGTGCCAGGACTCTCCCGACCTTTTCCAGTGTCCACTCTGTCCTCGCTGCAGTCCACAGATGTTCCAGCTGAGTGCGCCCAAAGTGATCGATCTGCCACGCCTGAAAATTCTTCCACACCTGACCTCTCAACCTCGGATCAAATAACAGAAGACACAGCGTCTGTCCAGCTTCCCTGCCCCTCCTCGCCACACCCACCTAGTACAGATGGTCCAATGAAAATCAGCCTCCTGTCACTGAGCGAGGCTATCGGTTGCAACTCCGCAGCACCTTCTGTACAGCAGACAATGGCACAGCAGACCACTGACAGAGCTGTCTACCTGACGGGAGAAATAAAGGACAACTGGGAGGTGGAGAGGGTAAAAGAGGAGGAAGA